AAGAGAGACGAGTGAGTGAGTAACTGACACGAGCAAGACGCAGCTACTTGACCATACGCAACTACCTGTGCAGACTCAATGGTCAGTGTGTACAGGCCAGACTTGGGTCTCTGAGGGAACGTGGCGAGGTGGGCGCCAGTCCGTGAGTCCGTACAGATCGCCACAAGCTCACCCCCAGGAGTAGTGGTAGTGACCAACTGGTCCTGGAGGACGGCGTTACTTACCAAGTTCGTAGCGAACGAGGGGAGGATAGCGTTACTCACTAGTTGCTGCACCTCCTCTAACATTGGATGGCGCTGCCGCAGCGGCCGGGTGGCAGGAGAGAGGGAGGAGTAGTGTTTAACCACAGCGTCGTAAAGAGTCTAGGCCGATGTCACCTGACGAGCGTGGGCCCTCTGGTCGACCTTGAGGTGAGGTCGGATGGCAAGCTGTGCGATATCGTCGCCCTCCGTCCCCTGTGTGTAGGCAAGGCTATCCGCCTAGTACCACCATTGCACGTCCTCACTAGCGTCAGCAGCAGGCTTAGTAGGAGTCGTGGGGGCCTGAAGGTACCCTGACGTGTGCTCGAGCAGGGAGACGCTATCTCTAATGAATCGCCGAAGATACATGCACAGACACTTAAGCCAACAACGCTAACTTAAATGGGCGTCCGTCTGCGTCAACCACTAAGACCAGGATAGTGGCTATAACAGGTAGCGGCAGTCAGCAGCAGAGGCGCAAAGGCGGTGGTGGCAGCTGTAGCAGCAGCGGGTGCCTATAGCGACAGCAAGGGCAGTTGTAGCAGTAGCGGTAACTATGGCAGGAGCGGTGGCTGTAGGTTAGTGGGGCATGCAGGCGCGGCGCGTGGGGCAGCACACGGGCAGGGCAGAGCACGCGGGCACGCGCAGCGCGCAAGGTAGCGTATGGGCAGGGCGAGCTGCAGTGTGCGGGCAGCTACGGCAGCGCGCTCACGGTTAGGGCAGCGCGCGGGCGGCTAGAGCAGCGTGCGGGCAGCTAGGGCAGCGCGCGGGCAGCTAGGGCAGCGCGCAGGCAGCTGGGCGCGCGGGGCGCGAAGGGCAGCAGGACGCGCGGGGCGAGCAGGGCAGCAGGACTCGCAGGGCGCGTAGGGCAGCAGGGTGCGCGGGGCGCGGGGCAGCAGGGCGTGCGGGGCGCACAGGGCAGCAGGGCGCACGGGGCACGGGGCAGCAGGGCGCGCAGGGCGCTTGGCAGCAGGGCACGCGGGGGCGAGCAGGGCGCGTGGGGCACGCAGGTAGCAGGGCGCGCGGGGCACGTGGGCAGCAGGGCGCGCGCGGCGTGCGAGGCAGTGGGGCAGTGGCGCTTGAGGCGCGGGGCAGCGGGGCAAACCTAACCTAATCGTAGATTCGGTAGTAGGTTCGGCAGTCGGACCTAACCTAGCGCATGATACCATGTTAGAATGATAGTACAGCGGAATGAATGAACTATGCAAGAGAGAGATACAAGTAGTAAACCCTAATTGGGTTATCCCCTCTAGAGTGAACCTCACTGTAGCCCACAGCCTAACAAATATATAGATTGACACAAACACCCTTAGACACCGACATTCAGGAACTATTGGCCATGGTCCAATAGTGCATCCTTGGGGTGGGGTCATTGCGGCCACAGCAGTCTTAAAAGTTCTCCACATGGGACCAACACATTGTGATAGAACAGTGCAGCATGCAGTAACACCGTCACACATCATCATACGACAAGTGAGATGAGGCCCCTTAGGGCATCGAGGATCCATGGGGTCATTGCGGCCGCAGCAGAAGTTGTCATCGCAAGAGTGGGAGATTCAGAGAGTCACCATTGAACGCCACTACATTACACATCATACGACCGATGAGGCCCCATAGTGCAGTCAGGGTCCATGGGGTTACTGTTTAGTCGACACCAAAACAGGAAAAGTTAAGCATGCAGTAACACCATCACACGGCATCGTACGTCTGATGAGGCCCTGTGCACCCAGAGCCTATGGGGTCAGTCATTGCGGGTGCAGCAGTCCCAGAAGTTCTCCACCTAACATCGTCATAGGACTATGTACGTTAGCATACATGCAGGAGCATCAAATCAAACATCATCGTACGACTGGTAAGGCCCCTTAGTGCACCCAGGATCCATTGCACAGTGACACCAGGAGGACAGCCCACATTACATCCCACTGTCATACCTCCAAAGTGGGCGGGATGGAAGGAGCAGGCAGAGGGGTGGTTCAGCCTTAGCCCATGGCATCGCCACATAGCATATCCCACACCCCATCCCATCACTCTCTACCTCCCATAGCACAGCCTGCACCACATTCCACCACTCTGTACCTCCGTAGTGGGCGGGGTGGAAGGAGCAGGCAGAGGGGTGGTTCAGCCTTAGCCCATGGCATCGCCACATAGCATATCCCACACCCCATCCCATCACTCTCTACCTCCCATAGCACAGCCTGCACCACATTCCACCACTCTGTACCTCCGTAGTGGGCGGGGTGGAAGGAGCAGGCAGAGGGGTGGTTCAGCCTTAGCCCATGGCATCGCCACATAGCATATCCCACACCCCATCCCATCACTCTCTACCTCCCATAGCACAGCCTGCACCACATTCCACCACTCTGTACCTCCGTAGTGGGCGGGGTGGAAGGAGCAGGCAGAGGGGTGGTTCAGCCTTAGCCCATGGCATCGCCACATAGCATATCCCACACCCCATCCCATCACTCTCTACCTCCCATAGCACAGCCTGCACCACATTCCACCACTCTGTACCTCCGTAGTGGGCGGGGTGGAAGGAGCAGGCGGATTCGTGGTTCTGGGCGGGGTCGAACGGCTGCTTGCACTGGCGACACGTCAGCAGCACCGGCGCCTCTGCTGAGCTGGCGCCACTGGCGGCGCTGCTGCTATTGGTCGCCTCCGCTGCCACGCTGGCCGCGCGAGCTGTTAAGCTGACGCTGCGAGCTGTGAGGATATGGGAATTGCGGGAAGAGCGGTCATGTGACTTTTGAGTCGCCTCGAAAGTGCGGTCATGTGACTTTTGAGTCGCCTCAAAAGTGCGGTCATGTGGCAGGCAATGCTGCGAGCTCAGTTGGTTGTAGGAAGTGTGGAAATTCTCAAAAGCCAATTGCTGCCCCGCTGGCCGCGCAAGCTGTGAAGGCAACTTTGCGAGCTGCGGGGCGGGGGGAATGGGGGGTAGTAGTAAGTGTGTGTGCCGTGTCACGTGCAATCCTCTGAAAGGCACAAATCTTTCGATACGCATGCTCGATTGGCTTTTGGTTATTGCGGACATTCTCAAAAGCCAGCTGCTGCCAAGGGGGCTGTGGGAGCTGCGAAGCTAACGCTGCGAGTTGAAGGGGTGTGGGGATATGGAGAGTAGAGAAGTCAGTCAATGTGTGATGCGCAATCCTCTAAGAAGCATCACACAGCTTTCGATGCACAAATTGAATTGGCTACTGGCTACTACGATCTTGCGCAAGCTCTCTCACGGCCAGCCTGGCAGCAACTGGCTATTGGAACCCGCGGATGTTTTTTGAGAATTCTCAAAAAACATACGCTGGCTATTGGAACCCGCGGAGATTCGTAGAAGCCAGCTGCTGCCATGCTGGCCGCGCGAGCTGCGGGGAAATGGATGGGAGCTGTATGGAGCTCAGGATGCACCTTTTGTTCTTTTCAAAAGGTGCACAAAAGGTGCACAAACGGTGCACAAAAGGTGCATCCTGAGCTCAGGGTGCGCTTGACAAGAGCGCAACTCTCATGTGATGACCATGCTGCGGGGAGCTGTAAATGTTTGGTGAGGGGGGTAGGAGAGCGAGACGAAGAGATTGAACTAGATGAAAAGGGGCGAGGAGGGGGGAAGAGGGGTGGGGGAAAGGGAGGGAGGGGAGGGGAGACGGGAACATACAGGGATGTCTTTGAGGCGTCTTAGAAGTTGAGCTTGGTGAGGGGGAGGGGGGGGAGGCAGGGATGTGTGGGAGTGAAGGGAGCGGGAGATTAACGTGCGCCATTCATTCCTCTCCGCATGATTGTAACGGGCAAGCAATCGCGGGCATCAGTACTACCGAGGCTTCGGGACGTCTCAAGACTCGAACTTGCGACTTCTCAAGGCATGACGTACATCATCTCGCGGGTTGTTAAATGCGGATGAAGTAAGAATGCTCTGAGCCCCGTTCGGACAAGCGAAATGCGGGAATTTCGTGATCAATTGACGCATTCTAACGGCTTGCGAGGCTAACCTACAGAGATGCTAGTAGCGTTACTCATGGCGACGGTAAGGAGCCTCACCGGGTGCACAGGGGAAGCGCGCCGATGGATTTGAGGCGCCGCGTGAAACGAGGGAGACTCCGCATGTGGAAATGGCTCCTAAAGCTACGCACGCCATGACTGCCGTGGCAATAAATAAAAGAACGCGTCAGGTGTTCGCAGGCGATTCAGTCGCCGCGGCTGTCGAGCAGGGTTAGCGGCAATGGATAGTAGAATGCGACTCAAAGTGAGCTTGGTCTCAACTAATGACGACCGTTGCTTCTGAGAGGGCGTGTTCAATTTTGAACTAAGGATTGTACATTGCGAACCAGGACCCCCTAACACTGTTCTGTTGCTTTTGTAGGTCCATCTCTCGATCGCGAAGTTCTTTTCAAGCTTTCGTTTTTGTGAAGCGTTCCCTAAGTGTTTTTTTCAAGCTATTATCCCAAAATGGGCTCTCCACATCCTCATGTGTATTTTCAAGCTTCAACCGCATTCCCAGAACGCTTTTATGTGCAAACAGAGTCCAATGCGAGTTCGTCACATCCATCACCCACAAACCACTTCGCTCTCAACATTCGTAAATCTCTCCATTCATGATCATCGCCAAATCCCATTTTCAGAACCACGCACCATTGTCGATCTAAGCAGTCGTCATCCTAGACCGATCGTTCGACCGCTGTCAATTTGATCAGCTGTTAATTCCAGTTAACTCTGCCAACGGTCAATTCGGTTTGTTGAACAGTGCGACTTTCGCGTCGCGCCTTCCAGCCAATCAGAGCCATGGCGGCGTTCGACGCGATCACGGAGGAGCCGCCGCCGAGCCGCCACTGGGACGATCCGGATTTCGAGTCCTTCCCGCCAAAACACTCCGGTTCCGTCGCTCCCTTCCGCTTCGAAGTAGGTTCTTTCTTCGTCTCCTCGTCGCCGCTATGCTCGCCGCGATGCTCGTTAGTTAAGCGAGCCCTCGTTCAGTTCCGATCCGATTCCGCGATTAAGAAGCGAGCCTTGGTTCCTATCTGGCTCCTGGTCAACCCCCCTCGCTGGGAGGTCTTTCCGCTCCAGCACAGCTCCCTCGCATGCCGGACATGCGACTCTTAGAGGGGAGCCGCATGCAACGGCGAGGTGCAGACGCGCCGCGGTACTCGAATTGTCAGGTCCAGCTGTGTGACGGAAGGGTATCTGTAAATCGGCGAGATTTAGCCTCGTTATAGCACGCATCGTGATGCTACAGCTCGTGATCCATCTGTCTGTAGCTCTGGTCGTACGATTTCAATACGGCGATTTACGCAGCGCGGATTCGTGTGGTGCAATCGCGACGAGTGAATTGCGGAATTTGTACCGCGTCTGTAGCCGGGGCAGCGACCTGGGCAGCCGATGTGGACGGGAGATCCGGACCGCTAATCTGAAATGTTATTCTGTTGCTACTGTCTGTCGAATGACTTCCTCTGAAATTCGTTCCGGTGGAGATTGAATTCGTTTGCTCCCTTCCTCGTTTCGTCTTCCTTTCCGGATCCCTCCCGCAACCACCAGTGGCTGTGGCACGACCCATCATGTGCCTCAGCACTGCTGAAACGCCTCCTTTCAAAGCTCGTCCACTCTGTTGTTTCTCCACCTCCCTGCTCCCACTCTTTATCCCTCCCTGCCTTGCTACCTCCAGTGGCTGTGGCACGACCCCTGCACATCAAAGCTGCTGAAACGCCTCCTTTCAAAGCTCGTCAACTCTGCTGTTTCTCCACCTCCCTCCCCTGCCCCGCCCGCTTTATTCCTCCCCTGCCTTCCCTCTTTCTCCTTCCCTGCCTTGCAACCACGAATGGCTCTGGCACGACCCCTGCTCCTCACGCTGCCGCAGTGCCTCGTTACAAAGCTTGTCGATTTTGCTGTTTCACCCCTCTTTATTCCTCCCTGCGCCTTCCCCTCCCCCCTCCCTATTTATCCCTCCCTGCCTTGCAACCTCCAGTGGCTGTTGCACGACCCTGCTCCTCACGCTGTTGCAGCGCCTCGTTTCAAAGCTCGTCCACTCTGCTGTTTCCCCCCTCTTTCCCTTCCCTGCCTCCCCCTCTTTACCCCCCCCTGTCTTGCAAATTCCAGTGGCTATGGCACGATCCCTGCGCCTCATCACTGCTGCAGCGCCTCTCCCTCTCTCCGCCTTCCACCACCTCCCATGCCACCAGCAGCAGCAGCTCCAGCAGCACCGAACCCATCACTGGCAGCAACAGCAGAGTCAGTGGTGCTGATGGTGGGGAGACCGAGGATAAGGGGTGTGTGGCAGTGAGGCTGCTGCTGGTGGCAGCAGCACCGGCTAGCAGCGACCTAATAGCCCATGCTGTGGAGTCCCTGGGGAGGAGTCCTGCATCTGCCCCTCCTTCTGACGGTGCTGACTTGGCCTCTGACGGTGCTGATGCTGACAGTGGCAAGAATCCTGGGCTTAGATTGGCTGCGCGGGTTCACTACGGCAACAGCGGCGGAAGCAGCAGTGGTAGCAGCAGTGGCGTTGATGGGGCGAGGTGAGACTGCTGAAATCAGCTGAGAGAGCTTTGAGTTGAGTGTGACGGGTCATGGGCCGGTGGGGTCCCTAGTCCTTTGAGAATTCTCAAAAAACATACGCTGCAACAAATTTCCCTCCCACTCATGCCGTCTTGCCAAGAGCTCCTCCTCCTGCCGCTGTCGTTTTTGGCCCCCATTGTTGCTGGCCCTGATGCCGCCTTGCCTTCATTAGCAACCCGCATACAGCAAAGTCGTGATTATTTTACCCTCCCCTGTCTCTTTCTGCTTCGTGTGTGATCCTTGCCACACACTTGGTGCATGGTGTATGGCATGCGATGCATGGGATACGGCACATGATGCATGGGTTACGGGGCACATAATGCATGGCACATGGTGCATGTGACATGGTGCACGGCATGTACCATCATGCATGCCACATGATGCGTGGAACTTGGCACATGTCATGTGATGCATGTCATGTGATGCATGGCCTCGTCATGCATGGCGTGCAGATCAACATCAGGACAGCACACGTCACACCTCTATCTCACAGAGAAAGGTGGCACCGCGCTATTGGCTGTCGGCCATGGGCGGCTGGAAGCAGAGCGGTGCTTCGAGTGGGTGCGAGGTGTCATGGCGCATGTGAAACCATCCCTGTGAGTGAGAATCTGGTAGGGTGCTAGAATGTGGTGCCAGGTCAGGATATGGTGTGCGCACGCGAAACCATCCCTGTGAGTGATAGCCTAGCCTGATGGCTCCTCGGTATACTTACACTAATGAGGTGACATTTGTGTCAACACAATTGGCACGGTGCTTCTAGTGGGTGCGCATCTGTGTGGGTGCGCATCCGAGTGGGTGCGAATCTCATGTGGTGCCAGAATGTGGTGCTAGGTTAGGGTATGATATGGTGCGTGCGAAATAACTTCTGAGGATCCATTGCGCATGTCAAACCATTTCTGTGAGGCATGGCGCATGTCAAACCATCTCTGTGAGGCATGGCGCATGTGAAACCATCCATCCATTCCCCCCCCCCCCCTCCAACCCGCCCCCCCCTCCCCTTCCCCAATTACCCCCCTCTCCGTGGCATTCATCAGGATGGTCGCGATTCCCTCTCTGCCGACCACCTCTCTCCCCTCACATACTGCGTACAGTCACATCCCATCCGCCAACCATCCAACCCTTCAACATCCAACCATCCCCCTTCCCCACACCCCACCCCCAACACCTTCTCCATCCACAAGGACGGTTGTGATTTCCTCTCTGCCCACCTCCTCTCTCCCATCACTGCACTGCGTACAGTGTCACATCCCATCCGCCACCAATCCAACCATTCCCAAACCCCCATCACCTTCTCCATCCACAAGGACGGTTGTGATTTCCTCTCTGCCCACCTCCTCTCTCCCATCACTGCACTGCGTACAGTGTCACATCCCATCCGCCACCAATCCAACCATTCCCCAACCCCCATCACCTTCTCCATGCCACCTGTCTGTCTCCCTCCAAACATCTCCCAACCCATTCTCCTTCCTATCCACCAGGACGGTCGTGGTTTCCTCTCTGCCGGCCACCTCTCTCCCCTCACTGCCCTCTGTGCCAGCCAAACTGCATGCCACGTCACTGGCCCCCCTTGCGGACGTGGATGTGTGGCGGCTAGAGACAGACGCTTTCAAGGTACGGCTTTGTTTGGTACAGAGGTGCAGGGTATGACTCTGATTCGTACGTGCGTCCAGGGGTGTGGTGCTGATTTGTATAGAGTCAAGGGTATGGCATGCAGAGTCAAGGGTCTCCTTTTGCCCCTCATCCCCATCGCCAATGTTCCTGCCCAGACGTCACCATTCGCAGCCCTCGCTCCTCTCCCAGCCATCGCCTATCTCCCATCTGGCAGTCTAATCGACGGTCTCCCTGCTTCTCTCCTCCCTGTCATATCCCCTCAACCCCCTTATGCTCTCTTTCTGCCCCTCATCCCCATCCCCTCTTCTCCAGGCATCCCCGTTCGCGTCCCTCGCTCCTCTCCCCGCCATCGCCTACCTCCCATCTGGCAGTCTCATCGACGGCCTCCCTGCTGCCCTCCTCTCCCATGTAAGCCTACCGTCCTCTCTCCCTTCGTTGCACCCTCTCCTCTTCCTGCATGCCCGTTTTCCATCCTGCCCTCGTATCCTCTGTGTCTCCCCTCGCCTCTCTACCTGTACTCACTCACTCCCATCTCATGTGCTGCCCACAATCCCGTACTTTTGTACCATTGCACCTGACCCTTTCCCACCTTGCCACATATAAACTCTCCGACCAACGTTTACCGTGATCAAATTGTCTTGTCTTAATGTGCTTTCCTGACCAGCGTATGCGCTGGTTGGGCACTCTTTGTTCACAACTGTTGAGGAAGAATCTCCTCACAGTTTCATCCTCACTTTTGCACTCTTCGCATTATTCCCTTCCTGCTCCTACCTATTATTCAACTCTCCATCTCCCTCCTCTCCCACATGTCCTCTGGCCTACTCCCGTTTCTCACTCGCCCTCCTTTCGCCCCTCGTGCAGTGTCAGCCGCGGCAGCTGCCAGCTGTCGCGCTCTCATTCGTGGACCGCCACTGGAGCGGCAGCTCCCCAGGTACGGTGCGAGGCATGGCTTGGGTCATGGGGGATATTGTGGCAGCTTTTGCTGCTGGTGCCCCAGGGGGGGGAGGAGCAGGAGAACAGGCAGCAGCAGCAGCAGCAGCAGCAGGAGCGGAGGAGGAGGGGGGTAAGGCTATGAGGGAAGCCCTGCTGAGAGCAGGCGCCGTGTGGGCGAAGCAGTGGTCTGCTGTGCCAGCAGGACATGGGAACGGGGCTGCTGAGCTGTACGTGTGACGTGGAACTTGGAAGAGGAAGCATCGCCACTGGAGTGGCAGCTCCCCAGGCACGGTGCGAGGCATGGAATGGGTCATGGGGGATATTGTGGTAGCATGTGCTGGTGGGGAAGGGGGTGGTGGAGAAGAAAAGGAGGGTTTGAGGCAGTGAGGGAGGCGTTGCTGAGTGCAGGAGGAGTGTGGGCAAAGCAGTGGTCTGCTGTGCCGGGGCATGGGAACGGTGCTGCTGAGCTGTATGTGTGAAGGGGAACTTGGAAGAGATAGCATCGCCACTGGAGTGGAGTGGCAGCTCCTCCAACACAATGCGAGGCATGGCATGGCTAATGGGGGAACTCGTGGCAGGGTGTGCTGCTGGTGAGGGGGATCCGGGAGCAGGAGGAGGACAGGGAGCAGCTGCAAGGGAGGCGTTGCTGAGAGCAGGCGCCGTGTGGGCGAAGCAGTGGAGTGCTGTGCCGGCAGCGCATGGAAATGGGACTGCTGAGCTGTACGTGTGAAGTGGAAGGGGTTTAGGCAGTTTCCACGATACTTACCAGAAGAAACGGCTTTTTGCATTGGGGGCTGCTGAGTTGTACGCGTGATCCGGAGGTGACTGCTATAGGAGTGGGAGGGCGGCTCCTCAGGCATTGGTGTACTTCGATCTAAGTAACGATAAAAAATTGGTGGACATTGGGAGTCTTGAAGTTCCAGTCAGAAACTATGGCAGCTATTTGTGAGTAGAAGGCATGGACTTGGGTTTGTGGAGTGTGTGCATATTCCTAGTGCTTATTTCTTCAGTAATGATATCCTAGTAGTAGTATCATTTACATTACTGATTGTTTTTAAGAAAGACATTTAAAGGTTGCTATTAGGTATGCGTTTCATGCAAGCAGAACACAAGCTGCTTTTAGGGCGTCGTACATCATGTGCAAGCGAGGTCCAAGTGTTGGATCCCGAAGCGGGTAACCCTACAAATTTGACTTGAACCTCGGGGTCAAGCGTGTGACCGCGAACCAACCACAAGGTCAACTAGTCAAGAAAGGCACCAGTCGCGGTGACTAGGGAGGCACGCGAAATCATTGCCCAACCAAAAACTTGCGTGAAACGCTCGCACGAGTGCCGCAGACACACCTTCGCGAAATCTTGACTGAATTGGATTACGATTTTGCACATTGTCGAGTAGAGAACAAAACGCGTCACATAACAGAAGTTGCAAATCTTGGGCTTCGGTTCAGAAAGAAGAAGTTCATCACGCTGAAACTCCTTCGAGCCTAAACGACCCCACGGAAATTGGACCCCATTTTGCACCACGCCGTCAAAAGATTGAAGGGCACGAATCCCACCTCCTCCCCCTCCCCCACCCCACCTCGCAAACACTAATCTCCTTTGCCGCAGATATTCGCAGCTACCACCTGCCAACTCCCACCAACCTAGTTTTATTTCATTTTCCCGCAATCATTCCACGAGCCTTTCTCACCATCTAGATTCTTACGCAATTCCAGGCGCAATTTGTGCGTCGCAGACCAATTTCGGGGTTCGCACTGTCTCAGTTGTGTAGGAGTTCCCACCCCCCTGCGAGTGCATCACAGGGTTCTCACTATATCGTAGACAGTGCGTTCGCCGGCGATGCGTGCGGAATCAAGGCCGCTTGCCTCGGGCCGCCGCAAATAAGTTCCCTCATTCGTCATCGTCATTTAATATCGCACGCATCTGTTAGAAAGGACGACCATGGCAGGGCAGTCGTCGCAGGTGGCGGTGATGGTGGTGGTGGCGCTCGCGCTAGTGGCGGCGGGCTACTATGTCGGCAGCACGGGGCTCGCCGCCGCGCCCTCGTCGCTGCTCGACTCGTTCGTTCATTCCAACAAAGCCGCTGCTGACGCCCTCACGCGTATGCGCGGGGGTTTGCGGGGGGCGGGGGCGGAGAGGAATTTCAAGGGAAGGAGGGCGTGGATGGGTTTGCGGGTGTTGAGGGGGGGGAGGGAGGGTGGGTCGGAAAGAAAGCGCTTTTTGATACGTCTCAGAAGGGAAGGAGGGCGTGGATGTGTTTGCGAGTGTCGGCGGCGGGGGCTGGGTCGGAAAGAAAGCGCTTTTTGATACGTGTCAGAAGGGAAGGAGGGCGTGGATGTGTTTGCGAGTGTCGGCGGCGGGGGCTGGGTCGGAAGGAAAGCGCTTTTTGATACGTCTCAGAAGGGAAGGAGGGCGTGGATGTGTTTGCGGCTGTCGGCGGCGGGCTACTACGCGGGCAGCACGGGGCTTGCCGCCGCGCCCTCGTCGCTGCTTGACTCGTTCACCCGCTCCAACAAAGCCGCCGCTGACGCCCTCACGGGTTTGCGTCGGGGGCTTCGGAGGAATGGGGCGGAGAAGTTAGAAGGGAATGGGGGCGTATGTGTTGAGATTATCGCGGTGGGGGTTGGGGGTGGTGTGGGTCGGGAGGAAGCGCTTTTTGAGACGTCTCAAAAGGGAAGGAGGGCGTGGATGTGTTTGCGAGTGTAGGGGATTGGGTGGAAGGAAAGTGCGCACGGTTGTAGTAACGCAGCTGGCTAGCAGTCGCAGCCTCATCCCTCCCCCCTTGCGCCTGCTGCTTACGCGAAGCGTTGGGGAAAAATGGAAAAGTGGGTTTGGGGGAAGGGGAAGGGGACCGGGGGTCGGGGGTGACCTGGGGCGAGCGAGTGTGGGGTTTGCGTGTTGGATGGGAGTGCGCATGGGCCTAAGGGTGGCTTTGCACTATGACGAAAACGTTCACGCAATGAGGTTCAGAAGTTTGTGCAACCTACTTCGCCCTGTTCTCATGTACTCATCTCTTGCTTAGCTTAGCTTACGGGATAAGCCAGCACCAGCGAGCCCTGTTCTCAAGAACTTTTCTCTTGCTTCGCCCTGTTCTCTTGCTTCGCCCTGTTCTCTTGCTTCGCCCACCTCGGTGTTGAGCATGCTACCTAAGAAGAAAGTAGGGGTCTAATTTGTTTTCCTCCCCCCTGCTTTCTTCTTAGGCGGCATGCTCAACACTGAAGTGAGCGAAGCAAAAGAACAGGGCGAAGCAAGAGATTAGTTCTTGAGAAACAGGGCTCGCTGGTGCTGGCTCATCCCGTAAGCTAAGCTAAGCAAGAAATCAGTACGTGAGAACAGGGCGAAGTAGGTTGCACAAACTTCTGAACCTCACTGCGTGAACGTTTTCGACATGGTGCAAAGCCACCCGCAGGTCCATGCGCACCCCCATCCACTGTGTAAATGTTTTCGCATGAATGTTTTTGGGGGTGCATGGGAAAGGGGGGTGTGGGCATGCATGGACGATACCCTTTCGAATTTCCCAAATAGAGTGATTGCTTGCCGAATGCTCGTGCACATCGTTTGCAGCAACTGGTGCATTCTAGGCATGCATGTAGTGGTGCGCTCAACCACAAACCTCTCTGTTTCTCCTCTGGCCCCGACCTTTCCGGCTACTTCAAATCGCATCTTGGCCTTGTCGCCTTGTAGCCGGCCACCTGTATTCCTTCAAGCCATCTTCAACATTGCTTTTCACCACCTTTTTCTTCGTCACTCCCTCCCTCCACACTGCTTCAGGGTTGTGTTGACTCCTACGCTGCTTTATGTCCCATCGTACCCTGAAGCATAGTTTGCTTCAGGGTTGTGTTAAACCTTACCCACAGGCAGCAGAGGAAACAGCAGTTGCAGCACGTCAAAGAGCATCGCGAGTCATTCCCTGGTGTCTTTCTCATTCACAACGCCGTATCCCTTCCCTTTCCCCTTGTCCTCCCAACTCCGCACTTCCTGCTCGTCCCAAACCCCCAGTGGCAGCACAGGAGGAGGAGGAAGCAGCAGTGGCAGCAGCAGAGGAGGAGATTCTGAGCGAGGAGGAGGCGCTAGACGCACCGGACCCGCGGGCAGCCGTGAACGAGTCCGACCCCGCGGTGCTGCGCGTGATTGAGGAGCGGCGCAAGCGCAGGGAGGCGGCGCGGCAGAAGTACAAAGAGGAGCTGCTGGCCATGGTGAACGAGGTGAAGCAGGCGGCTGCTGCGCCGGGCGGGCTGAAAGAGGAGGAGACGGTGGCGGATGTGTCGAACGTGCCGCTGCAGTACGGCGCCACGGAGATCACTCAGCTGGGTGAAGTGGTGGGGAAGGGGGGAGGAGGCGAGAAGGCAGGAAACGCGGATGTGCAAGGGGTGACTGGGGGGCAAAGGGCTGCTGGTGGTGATTCGAATGGGGTTGCTTCGGAGGATGTGCATGGTCCGTCAACAAAGAAAAGGAGACGATTACGTTAGGTTAGGTGGTGCTTCAGGTTGCTCGAGTAGTTACGTTGGTACAATTTGTCAATCAGGACCTGTGCTGGGATTTTGGTCATCGGAGCCATGAGGAGCGTGAATTATTTAAAAAAATAACCAGGGCTGCTGAATGACACAACACATCCATCCTTTTTTTTACCCCCTGGAGTCCACTAGAGTCGGGTTCAGTGCCTATCTTATCAGTGGAAGCTGCTAGACAAAGCAAGTCCCTTAGGAACTTGGACACAATTCAATGCCATGCATGGACCTTGAGTGACTTGGAGAGCCACATGAGGTGCATGCTTAGGAGTTCTCTGGAATTCTGTGATATATTAGCTGGTTTTGTTGTGTAACCATGTAGAAAATACCATCAATTCAAGCCGAAAGTCAATTCGAATTGTAAAGAGACTTCGGCTAAAATATAATTGGCTGCGGAACCTTGTGAATCTTTCGCGAAGCCTTGAAGTTGTCGCCGACATTCTCCCCTTGCTGCATGTGTGCTAAGGGCTGGGTTGAATCTTGTTTTTCCAACACAGAAAAGCTATCTCTTTCAGCAGAACTTCACTCCCGTATCACCCGCCGCTCCTCACGCCTAGCCCCTCACCTCACCCGCGCTCCACACACCCGCCTCCCTTTACAAATTACTCTCATCACGCTCACTCCGGCTCGCGTTCATTCGCCACCTTTTCGCACAGCACGCCCCATCTCGCCCACCCGATCTCCGTTTCGCGAATTTCGTTAACATTCGCCCTTCATCTACGTCGTCCCACCCCTGTCGTTCGTCAACTCCCTCCTTGGCTCCCACCCGTCTCTCGAGGCGCCTCATAAGTCGACTCTCATCCGTTCTCTCGTGTTCCCCTGTGCCGTCATCTCATTTTCGTGCGAATCGGCTTTAAGCGGAACATCCGTTCGAGGGAACAGTGGAGGCTGGCGAAGGGGGGGGAAGGGGGGCGAAAGGAAGGAAAAATCAGAGTCGACTCCTCCCATCCGCTCTCTCGTGTTCCCCTGTGCTGTCATCTCCTTTCTGTGCGGATCGGCTCTAAGCGGAACAGTCTTTGAGGGAACAGTGGAGGAAGGCGAAGGGGGAAAGGGGGGACGAGAGAAAAGCGGAGGCAGGGAAGAAGGGCGGAAACTTAGCCAAGGAAGAAACGCGGAGGTTAAAGGCGAGGCGAGGCGAGGGAAGGCGAGGCGAAGCGAGGCGAGGACAGGAGGAGGGACAGTAGGGGAGCCTTCACTGAGTGGGAGACGAGAGAGGGAGACGAGAGAGGGAGACGAAAGAGGGAGCCCGAGGAGTGAATGTGCTGCACGGTCGAAGGTGCATTCACATCCCATCGCATCCCTGCATGATTAAGCCCAGTCAGAAAAGATGATTCGCGCGCTGCGCATGGTGCGCGACGCGTGGGTGTTCTTCACGGGCAAGCAGGACTCTGAGCTGGTGCGGCAAACCAAGCGGCTGCAGTTCGAAGCTGCCAAGGTGAGACGCGCACACACACACACGAGAGCATCTTATTCAATAGCACAATGGCAACAAGAGGACTGGTTTGTGCATGGTGCGCGACGCGTGGGTGTTCTTCACGGGCCGGCAGGACTCGGAGCCGGTGCGGCAGACGAAACGATTGCAGTTCGAAGCCGCCAAGGTGAGACAATCTATTAAGAAATCTTCAAGGAGTGGTGAGGACCGGTTGTGTGGGATGGGCGCGTGGGTGTTCTTCACGGGCAAGCAGGTCTCGGAGCTGGTGCGGCAAACCAAGCCGCTGCAATTCGAAGCCGCTAAGGTGAGACGCACACCTGGACGAGACCATGGTGAGCGTAGAGCACAAGCATAAGCTAACTAGCAAACTGGTAAGGCGCATCTGTTTAACTAGTGCTGCTGGATGCAGCGTGAAAGTTCTTCATGGGCCAACAGGACACACACACATGCATGAACGCACACGCATGCACGCACGTGCACACGAGTGGAGGAGCTGTCTTTGGTTGCTGGCTCTGCCTGCGCATCTCCCTCCTCCCTCTGTTTGCCTATGCCTGCCTGGTCTGTCTGCCCTGCCCCACTCAGCTGAGGGCCCTGTGGGTGTTGCAGCAGCAGGTGCAGGAGGAGCGTATGGTTGTGCATTATCCCTGCAACGATAGCGTCTCCTAACTTGGTTCCGCCCTGCCTCACTCAGCGGAGGGCCCTGCACGAGGCACAGCAGCAGGTGGTGGATGGATGTTGACTCTCAGCTCTCCTCCCTCTCTCCCGCTTTGCCCAGCTCTGTACCTCCCTCTCTCCCGCTTAATATGTACCTCCCTTCAGCCTGCATCTGAGGGCCCTGTGGGGAGCACAGCAGCAGGTGGTGCATGGTTGCGCGGACTCTGTTTTGCTTACACACATCTCCTCTCCCTCTTCGCCCAACTCTGTTCCTCCTTGGTACATACCCTCTTTCCGCACTCACCTGTGGGCCCTGCGGGTGGTGCAGCAGCAGGTGGTATAGGGAGCAGTCTTTGGTTGCTGCCTCTACCTGCGCTCATCTCTCCTCTCTCCTCCCTCTTCTCTCGTTTTGCCTATGCATGTTCCTCCCTTGCGCACCCAGCCAAGGGCTCTGCGGGTGGAACAGCAGCAGATGGTGGATTCTTCCTTCTGAGAACGATTTTTGAGTCGACTCAAAAATCGTCTCATCACAGCAGCGGATGTTGGATGCTTTCTTCTGAGAATTCTGAGACGGATCTCGTTGCACTCATCTCTCACTGATAGCGTGCTGCCTTTCTCTTTTCACTCTTGTTGCACCTCTCCCTCCCTCCTCTTTCCGCACCGCAACGTCCAGCTGACAGCTCTGCGCGTGGCACAGCAGCAGCAGGTGGTGAAGGGGTTGCGTTTGGTTGCTTGACTCTATTTGCACCCAACTCTCCGTCCCTCTTATCCCCTCTGCTTGTCCCATTCAGCTGAGAGTCCTGCGCGTGGCACAGCAGCAGGTGGTGGGGGAGGAGGGCTCTCACTAACATCGTGTTGTTGCCCTTCCTTTCCTTGTTCCTCTCCCTTCTCCTTCCGCCCTTTCCCAATCCAGCTGAGGGCGCTGCGGGTGGCACAGCAGCAGGTGGTGGAGGAGACGGTTCTGGAGCATGTGAGACGAGTGGTGGGGGAGATGCAGCATCCCACTCTCTTCTCCTTCTCCTCCTTCCCTCCTCTTCTCCCCGCTATCCCCATCCAGTTGAGGGCGTTGAGAGTGGCACAGCAGCAGGTGGTGGAGGAGACAGCTCTGGAGCATGTGAGGCGAGTGGTGGGGGAAATGGAGCAGCTGAAGTAGCAGCTTGATGGCATGGTGAGGAGTGGTGGTTGGTGATAAGTGGATTGAGGGTGGCGGAATACGGTAGAAACTGACTTTTCTTCAGAATGTGAGGCGGATCGGATGGCGGGGGAGATGCAGCAGCTGAAGCAGCAGCTCGATGGCATGGTAAGCGGTTGTCGTGGGATGGTGTATGGTGGGGGTAAGGAGGACTAGGTCATATTGAGGATGTGAGGCGGGTGGTGGGGGAGATGCAGCAGCTGAAGCAACATCTCGATGGCATGGTGAGGAGAAGTTGGATGGTGTATGGTGGGGGTAAGGAGGACTAGGTCATATTGAGCATGTGAGGCGGGTGGTGGGGGAAATGGAGCAGCTGAAGCAGCAGCTTGATGGCATGGTGAGGGTGGGTGGGGGCATGGTGAGGGGTGGATGGGGGTATAGTTTGGGGTGGTGTGATGGTGAGGGTGGTGGGATGGTGTGGGGTGGTGGGATGGTGTGGGATGGTTGGATGGTGTGGGGTGTTGTGATGGTGAGGGTGGTGGGATGGTTAGGGGTGGTGTGATGGTGAGGGTGGTGGGATGGTGAGGGGTGGTGGGATGGTGAGGGTGGTGGGATGGTGAGGGGTGGTGTGATGGTGAGGGGTGGTGGGATGGTGAGGGGTGGTGTGATGGTGAGGGTGGTGGGATGGTGAGGGGTGGTGTGATGGTGAGGGTGGTGGGATGGTGAGGGTGGTGGGATGGTGAGGGGTGGTGTGATGGTGAGGGTGGTGGGATGGTGAGGGTGGTGGGATGGTGAGGGGTGGTGTGATGGTGAGAGTGGTGGGATGGTGAGGGGTGGTGTGATGGTGAGGGTGGTGGGATGGTGAGGGGTGGTGGGATGGTGAGGGGTGGTGGGATGGTGAGGGTGGTGGGATGGTGAGGGTGGTGGGATGGTGAGGGGTGGTGGGATGGTGAGGGTGGTGGGATGGTGAGGGTGGTGGGATGGTGAGGGTGGTGGGATGGTGTGGGGTGGTGGGATGGTGTGGGGTGGTGGGATATTGGTCTTGTAGGTGGATGGCACTCAGGTTGCAGGGCTGCCTCGAAACACAACAGTCTCCTTGTAACACACTCACACACGCGTCAGAAACCCATTTCTAGCACTACCACGCACTACACTATTTGCTTTGCCTTTTTGTGCGTCACTCGTCTTTCGTTCGTGATATCACCTTTGAGGATTCTTGGCAGTGATACAAGCAAATCAATGTATGTCTCTACTACGTCACGCGAGTGCTTGTTCTTTCTGCGCCTCATGCCTCTTTCTCCTCATGCCTCTTTCGCCTCATCCCTCTTTCGCCTCGTGCCGATTTGGCTGCCGTCCACATGGCAGGAGGAAGCAGCAAAGGCACTGGCAGAGAGTGTAGCGGAGCAGGCTAAAACGAGGATGCAGCAGGAGGAGGAGGAGGATGACAGGAGATTGCTGCAGACTATGGATCAAACAGCATTAGAAAGGCTGCTGGGGTATGGGAGAGAGGAGACGGGCATGAGTGGGAGCCAGAAGCGGAATGGTGGTGGTAGTGGCAAGTGATGCAACAGGTGGAGCAGGGGGAGGGGGAGGAGGATGACAGGAGATTGCTGCAGAATATGGATCAAACTGCGCTGAAAAGGCTGCTGGGGTATGGGAGAGAGGAGAAGGATGACGGTGGGAGGAGCAAGTAACAGAAGAAGGCACAAATCGATCAACTCTGCTGGAACGGCTGCTCGGGTGTGGCAGGGAGGAGAAGGATGTCAGTAGGGGCGGCAATTAGCAGTGGAAGGCACAAATCGATCCAACATCGCTGGAAAGGCTGCTGGGGTGTGGCAGGGAGGAGACGGGAGTGAGTGGGAGGCAGGAGAAAGATTGTGGCGGTGGAAGTGGCAAGTGATAGGATGCAGCAGGTGGAGGGGGATGGAGGAGGAGAAAGGCAGGTGGCTATTGCAATTTGCACTCTGTGAATCAAGCAGCACTGGAAAGGCTTCTCGGGGTTTGGCAGGGAAGCATTAGTGGGAGGCAGGACAAGGATGGCGGTGGGAATAGCAAGTGATCGTGAAGCAACAGGGCGACGCGTGTATGGTGTTATGATAAGTGAAATGAGAAGTGCAGTACATCCTACCCGTAACAATCGAGACAAGTGCTAGTGAGTATGAATGCGAACAGTCAGAGATACGAGAAATGTCGCGTATCATTGGGAGCATCTGGACCATCAGTGGCAGAAGCATCGGGCAGCTGCATCGCCAAGGATTTGGCGGGAACAGGTTCGTAACCGGTTCCCGCGCCGCACGGTTAACTTTCGCAGCACTACGGGAATGTACCGCTTAGAGTACATGGCTAGTTAGGACGCTTCGTGTCCCTTTGTTTTCCTACATAAACCATTGTATGTTTCTGTTATAATCGCTTCAGTCAATTACATTCACTCTGATCTGAGGTCATTTCCGCTACATTAACTCTGTGCGAACAACCTGAGCTGATCATGGCTAAGGTCCCCCTTGGTGTCAAACTGTCAAAATAACTTATACCGTATTCTCCCGGACAAAACACCCCCCCGTAATTGTACACCTCCGGGTAGCTTGTGCGGGGTGGGTGTTATGATAGACCTCGTTTCTACTATACCCCCCTTTTTGGCTGATTTTCTATAACACCCCCCTTTTCTTACGAATTCTTTACCGGTATTATAGTCGTTAACGAGTAGCTGCAATCAGGGCCCGTGCTAGGATTTGGGGCACCCTGAGGCCTCAGGGCACCTTTCCAGAATCGTAAAAAATGCCCTGATTTGTCAGGGCAAATTTTCGAAGCCTTCCTGTATGTTCAGGGCTTTTTCAGAAATCAATCCTGACCTGTTGTAAGGAAAATTCCTTTTCCTTACTTCGCATCCCTGCTCAACGCGTACATCACTGTAGCACCACAGTCAGCACCGTTACCACTCGCCACCCTCGCATCGACAATCCGCCCGCCACCTTCGCACATCGCACCCCGACCTCACGGCTCGACACTTTTTCCCAACCTCAGTCCCAGGCCCGTCGCGCGACAACCACAGTCCATTACCGTTACCACTGTAGTTTCGCTATATATTCTTCGCTCATGCCTTCGCTCATTGCTCTCTTGCTTCAATAGTGCAATTCTCGTTCGTTCACTCAATTGCACTCGTAACACCTGGTATTCAGAGCCTACGATCTCCTCTCGGACCGCACCCACACCTTCGCTTCTCCACTATCTCAATTTTTGGGGGGGGTAGACGTCTCTCAGCGACACAGCACCGCCGCTCGTAGTGCTCTCTCGTAAGCACGCACGGCCACGACCGAGGCTCTCGCTGAGCTCGCCCGACACCCCCGCCATGGCCGAATTCACGCTCGCCACATTGACGCAGGAGCAGCTCGACCGTCTGGTGCGCCAACTTGAAGATTCGGCGCTCGAAATTGCGACGCTCACGGCGGAACGTGACTCCGCGCGTCAGCAATCAACGATGAACACTCCAGCGCCACCACACCAGGGCTAACTTTAGTAAAATGACCCGTCTGATGTCAAGACCGGGTCCTGGCTCCTTGTCTGATTGTCAGACGAAAGCTGTAACATTGTCTAGCTTTTCAGACGAATCCTAAATACTTGTCTGAGATTTCTGTGAAGATATAAAGCTAGCAAGCAATATACTATCAAAATATGAATAAGGAAGTCAGGTACCAACCCTAATGGTCCAGCCTGTAGATGAGGGAGTTGTGAAGATTGAGGTTGCCGGTTCAAATCTTGTCTCCTACCTCTGCCAGGCAGGTGCATACATCCTTGAAGAGTTTTGCCTTCAGACGAAAAAGACTCGATATCTGCAGTCTCAGACGAACTGTATAAGGATGTCTGAGAAATCAGATGAATAGAAAAAGCTTCTCTTAAAAATCAGACGAAATTAAACAGCATGTCTACGACATCAGATGACCCAGTAAAAATGTGTTCAGAATCCAGAAATTCAGACCAAAAATGTCTGATAAAGTAACCCCTGCACCACACGCACCGACAAATGCATCTGCACAATCAGACGAGCCGATCGTCATCTCGTCCGGCACACCAACACAAAACAACAGCGTGGGACAGCGCTCAGGCGCAGCCAGCGATGGCGCCGCCCAGCCGATGCCTGGCATGGGAGGAAACAGGGTCGCACCAAGGCCGCGGGAGCCTCGCGAAGCCCGTCGGCACGTGGAGTTCGCGGCGACAAGTGGCGAACAGGCCATCATGGCACCAATGCCACTCAAGCCGCAACGCCCGCCCTGCTTCGATCCGAGCCAGCGTGGAGGTCCGACGGTTCAGTCGTGGGTCTTCACGATGAACGTCTTCTTCGACGCGAATTACGTCGAGTCGGACGCAGCGAAGATTCGGTATGCCGTTTCGCTGCTAAGGGGCCCCGCCATGGACTGGTGGCGAGTCATCGTGACGTCGCCACGCGCCTACGAGCCACCGTCGCAAGAGGAAGGGCCCACGGGCCCAGCTGTCACCTGGAGTTCATTCTGCGAGACCGCCCAATACAGCACGTGGGATGCGTGGTGCGCAGGGCTTCGGGCGCGCTTCGAGCCGATCGCGGCTTCTATTTCGGCGCGTCAGAGATTGCGCACTTGGCGGCAGCTTGGACCGGTTCAAGACTATACGAGTGGTTTTCTCGCATTATGCGAGCAAGTCGGCTATATGCACGAAGCGGAGCGGGTGGACCGTTACTTCGGAGGGCTGAAGCCGGACATCTCGCACGAAATCATGCTACGCGGGCTCTCGAACTTCAACGAGATTCTCGCGCTCGCCGAGAAAATCGACATTTTACGCCGTCCGAGACCGGGGTCCTACTATGGACATCGTCCTCGGGGACCGATCGAGCACGCCACTGTACACGCTGTTGCGACGAATGCAGCTGCCGCGCCGTTTAAGGGGCGCTACTTCGCTTGCAACAGGCCGGGCCATCGCAAGAGCGAATGCCCAGAGGAGCTAAGGCGCCGCGGAGCAGAGCAGGGGAGGGAGTCTCCAAAGCAGGGAAACGC